CTGGACTTCGGAGGCGACTATAGAGATATTTTCTTAAAATGAAACCAAGAGATTTATAGCAATTATGTTTTCTGCTTAGGTATACGCGCATCAAAATCATTGTCACCTTATCACGCGTGCTTATGGAGAGGTTATGCGGTTCCAAATTGAATTATCGTAAGCAGTGTGCTGAAGAGTTTACTAAATCTTTCCCAAAGCAATTATAACACTGAAAGTTGACTAACCTTTACACCCTGGACTACTCAGTTCGTGTGTTTTAAATTGAATGGAACGCGCATTAGTGGCTGGAGTGTAAATTAAAGTTGAGAATTATATCTCCCGCTAAAAATTACGATTTTATATTGTCAAAATATCTTTCATTGATGATCAATGATGCATATAAACGTTCATGCACACCGAGATTGTATGTTTCTTTTCATATGTGCATTTACAGCATCGACAGTTATTTTAATTTGATGTGATGCCCATTGTTTTACTCCCGACGACGAACATTTGAGGAAAATAAGCGGTTATTGATTTGCGATGGTGATTTGTGATAAAACGCGGCTTTCTATACCTGATTTAGTTTCATTAATTTAACGTTTTCCAGTCATGTCCTATGACAATAGCCGTTATGAAGCGTCGAAAATCTCTTTATATTACATCAAGTCATGTGGAAGTGGCCTTTGGATGAAATAAGAGTCTAAGATACATGCAGCTTGTTAGACGTACGATGCCCGTTGTCAACGCAAAGTCCAAAGATCTGGATGTCAAAACAACCCCTTTATTTACACTGCCATTGCACATGAATGGGAATTATGTTTATGTCCACTATTTTAGTAAATCGTCTTGGATATTTACTATAGAACAAATCATTTGCCTTACTGTATCTTTTGTTTAAGTATTGTGCGTATAGATCCATCGTCGGCAACTCGTTGAATGACATCAGGTAACACACTGGTGAACTCATTTATTAGATCTTCAATATTTTCATCTAGCATCTGTATCGTTGCATTGCCATCTGTGGAACTGTGTGCTTCATTGCTGTGACAAGATTTCAGGCTAGAGTACCGACAATTGTCGGTACTCTAGACCACGGTGTATAACCCAAACGCTCCTACATGCACGACGGAGCGTTTCATTACAGAAATTAAATAAAGAAACGCTCCGGAGTAGGAAAACTGGCTGGCGGGAATGATGAGCCGTCTGACGATTTCCCCAATAATGGGAATAAGAGGTATGAGTTCCATATTTCGAGTATACCATTCGATGGGTGTGATATTCATGTTGTACTTGGCTGGCTGTTGACGGTTGAAGCAATTAGGAAGAGCTGTACGAAGCAGTGTAGTTATCAAAATTCAAAAACGTATTTGTCATTCTAACGGTCAATACCCCTTTTGTCGATACATGTGATTGGTTGAGCCAAGATTAGAGCACCAACGTATATTTTAGTCAAATTTCAATGCTTCAACGCACCATACATTATCGTAATAGTGATTTGATGACCGAAAATCCAGTCTTAAAAATGATGACATTCTCATATTCAAGAAACGCTCCGATCTGGTTAACACAGTGAACTGGAAACGCTCCGGTAGTCTAGATCAGTTTCGGAATTATATAGCTTGTCTTTCCTTTTCAGGAAGCGAAAGAAAAGATCTATTATACCCCTTGGCATCAAAAGAAGAAAGATTAATTCACATATAAATTCTAGTTTTTTTCTATAGTTTTATGATTTAGCACACATGTAGGCATGACATCATCTAATGTAGGCTTAAATCAGCTAGTTGCACGTTTAGCACCACCAGGTTCAGATGTTTCAATTTGCCTAACAAGTACAACACGTTTTTGAGAGATCGATTCGATTCGGAACTCTTCTAATAATCTGAAAATGATATCAAAACAAAATGGTAAGAGCGTTTCTAAAATTGTGTTCTAAATCGACGGAGCATTTTGAGGAAAACAAGCGATTTCTCGAGAACAAGTAATGGATTTGGACTGGGATTTTGGGAAATGAGAATATACGAGTTTGTGATCTACTACTTTAACAGAAAGATTAACGTTTTCATAGAAATACTAGTTTAATTCGTAATTTGTGGTCAAATCGTCATCTTCAGATTCGTTCGATCTACACTACGGAGCTTTGATCAAGCAAATAACAGTTTACCACCAGAAGTTGAATAAATAAGATATTTCCTCACGGTATTGTTCATCGAATGGTACATAATATTTCACCATAACATATGATATGTAAGAGAAACGAGAGAAACAATACTTACGGTCATAGTGGAATCTTCATTAGCCGCCATTTTATTTCGCTCCGGAGCGTTTCCGCGTAAATCAAACGCTCCGTCGTGCATGTAGGAGCGTTTGGGTTAAACACCGTGTAGACTCTGAGGTGGTGGCACGCTAGAGGACCGACGAATAAATTGTCGGTACGGGAGATATGCTGTGTTTACACGCTAGAGGACCGACAAATATTGATTTTCGAATTTTCGAATGCGCGGGGGGATATTTCAGATATCATACGGATATTTTGGGAACAAGTGCAAAACCCGCGGAGGGCATTACCAAACCCAGTCAAAAAATGGTAGCCCGGGAAGAGGGAATGGTAGTAAACGTTGAAAACCCAATATAAAAAAACATGAACAAGTAAGACGTTAGAAAGCTATTAATGCAGAGTAAACGGCTATACATATTCTAAACAGACAGGATATTACTCCTGAGCCGATCAGGCGTAGAAACGGGCGTTTGCTACCCATTAGATAGAAGAAAATAGCTAGAATGTTTTTTATTTGAAGCTTATGGTATGAGGTTCCATATCCATCCGCCAAAAGGTATGACCCCTAATAGTCCATTTAAAAACCAGTGGTATCGTTCTAAATAACCCATAGTTGGCTTCTAGGGTACCTAGTATGCCACTATTTGGTATCAAAATAAAGAGGAGTTCAACTTTCATTTGAATTACGAAAATAGCGATGTAGGTCAAAATAGTTCCGAACGTGAGCATGTTTACTACGCGTTTGCCCGTCATATCAGAATTGAGGAAGTGGTAGCAAACGCGAGTTACAATAAACGGACGCTGATATCTCAAAAAGTAACCTGACTCCCTATAATTTGATGTAGGTCAATCGAACCCCTATATGGACAGGTGCATTTTGATATATAACACTATGGGGGGTAAGCGTTTCATAGTTGGTCACGAACGCCATATGTGCAAAGTATTGTTATGAATTTTCGAATTTGGTGTTGGATTACGGTACTCATACCTTATAGCACAATTTTTGATGGAAGTTGCATTTGGCTCCCTTAGTTAATGGCCACGATTCCATCTCGCATGAGAGAGCTACCAAACGCAAAGTAAACAGTGATATATTCCAAATGAGATATTTCTCCTGTGCCATGGCGTAGTAAGGGTAGAGAGCGACGGGGGCGAAAGCATCCCCTCCCCTAACTGTATATATCGACCCATTAGATAGAACAAGAAAAGAGCTTTAAAGGAATCCAACACCTTGCAAAACTTCTTAACGGAGAGGAATAAAGGAAAATGCTTGCCGGATTCTGAATCTGTGTATTTTTTAATGATTTTTCACCGTCTTAGAATTTCACTTTTTTTCCTTTGAAAAAATGAGATTTGCATTGTTTTCCAATTAGACAAATGAGTAAACATGAATAGCCCGAAATCTAACGGTGAGATTTTGTTTTAAAAAATCATGGATATCAAGGCTAAATATAGCTATACAATAAACATAAAAAAGCAATGCTTGGACTCTTCATATTCACACAAAAAATTAATTAGTAAATGAGGTTTGATATTTGTGAGAATAAGTTGTACGAGTCGCAATGCTCTACAAACACCAGACTACAGGGTGGATTAGGATCAATGACACACATACAAATTGATTTAAAAACATTTCATGATAATTATCTCAAACAAAAGCAGTTAGCGAAGGATACATTTCATTACACTCAATAAATAGTTATCACTTTTGACTATATATACATATCTCATGGGAATGTATTTCCATCTGCTCAAGATATCATATTTTAGCTTCGAAAATCACAATCGTTGGATAATACATTTGTCTCAGAATGATAGGCCACCCTGTAGCAATGTAGCTTTCACTTGAAGTGTACCCTTGAGAATAATGAACTTACTTTCAAATTGGTCTTGCTTTTGTGGTGTATGTGGCATTTTAGCAAATCTGCCACGCTCATTTCTTTCCAGAACCATCTTGTTCACATGTAACACTAGGCTATACGCGCATGTATAGACAGATGACATAGATATACATATAAATTATATATTGCACCTGTATTTACTTACATGGGAATATTCCCTTTGGAAAAATGCAAATGCATGAACATATATTTTCATCTTATATATGACTTCAAGCTAACATATTATTTCATATTTATATTTTCATAGTTAGTCTAACATAAATAATAGATCCATGAGAACAATATTCTTTGTTTTCTTAAAAATTGATGGGTTTACTGTGAATTCAATAAATTACAATTTGCAAGGGGTAAGTATACTGTATGACCTTAGTTGCAAAGTACTGTTTATATATGCAGCTCAATAGCATAAAATATGTTGAATGAAGCATATGTTGGGGATTAGTCGTGTGACACACAAACTGACCAATACATGAGGGTATTAGCTACTTTTCATAGAAACCAAAGGAGGACAGTGATTTTATTTCAACTGGGAGCTTACCTCCACACGACTGATCATGTGACCATGGTGTTGGGTCCCTTTAAAATGTTTTTTAATTGAAGCTTGTATGACAATTTTGATGGAAGTTGAATCAATTTTTGTCGAAATAAATTATGGCTCAATACAAGTTAATGCCTGTGCGATTCCATACTGCAAAAGAAGCACTATGCCCCCCCCTCAAAAGAAAAAAAGCAGGTCCTGCCGGGATTCGAACTCGGGACCAAGTGTGTTCGAGCTCGCTAACCACGAGGCTACCAGTGATGAGGTTATTTCTAAAAGTAAAAGTAGTCGATTTATTTATGAAATTGTCGGCTCTCTAGCAAAAACACGTAGTAGCCACTTGCGTACCGACAATTGTCGGTTCTCTATCTGGCACTACTAGGTGACGATAGAGTGCCGACAATTGTCGGTACCCTAGCAAATACCCCTGGACAGCCTCCAGTACCGACAATTGTCGGTCCTGGAGCTACTCCGTGTATTATATCATTCATTTCATTGGTGATTTCATTGGTGGTTTCATTTTCAATTTTATTTTCAATTTCATTTTCTTTTTCAATGTTATTATCCATTGTTGTACGACATTTCATTTCATTGTTACTGTCAATATCTAATTTTGAGCATTTAGATACATGGGGAACATCACTGTCCAAGTACTGGGCTATTGATATTGTCATGGAGTCTTGATCCTGAATCACTATTTTTTTGCCACTGGCTTCGATCTCACTGGGAATCACATCTGAGAAATTTTTTGTTATCAATTTAATCGTTCCATTCACATTAATAATTTTTCTGATTTTCATTTCATTTTCAGGATGTTTTAAAATCAAGTGTTGTATTATTGCATTAAATTGTTTTGTTTTCCCGTCACAATGGTAGCATTGGAAGCTTACACACCTGAAAGTAAACAAGTGATTAATTAGACATCCATTCCACGTATTTTCCATATATTCTGTGGGAATCAGAGCCGCGTTTTTCCAGAAAATAAATCTAATCTCGTCTCAGGGACGTAAATTACTTCTTGTATTAGAAAAGTAATGGTGATATGACATTCCCTGGTTCATAAACTATCATATCGTCAAATATCAATGCATTTGAAACAGAGTATCTACCATTTTTTCGAAAATAATCAAAAAAAATATTGCGGTTATTTACAAAAATATATTATTTCAATTCGTATTCATTTCGTTTCTTAGTATTAATCGTTACAATATTATATATAGAGAGGTGGATATGTCTTGGATCAATGTACCGAGTTTGAACATGTCAGGTGGCCAAGAAAGGGTATAATTTAAAGAAATAAACTCACCCCTGCTCTGCCATGTTTATTTTTAGGAAGATCGTTTTTTCCTAAATCAGAGCCACTTGTTTTGACCTTATCACTTCGTCCAGGGTGGAGTATCATACTCCAAAATGTACAATTTCTTTTATTTCTTTTTAATGGTACAATATAATGACACGATAATATTTTACATAATGTTTTCAGCATAACTCTGAGGGTGTTAATGAGATCTTGATGATCTTGGGTATTTTTAATATTTTTTTATGAAAAATAATGTTTACATTTTTTGTCAGCTGTGACGGAGCAGTTTTAACTGTGAACTACGTTAAGAATTTAAGATTCAGATTGTATCTTTTAAAAGTACCCTTAGAGGAGAGAACGTGTCAAATCACTTTCCTAAATTTTGACAAGTAGCCTCTGGGAGCAAAAATTCATTAAACATGGACTATTAAAAAGACACAGGAACGTTTTGAACGTAAAGCAGATTCAAATAAGGACAAGACAAAAATGACAAAGGTAGTAACCATACCCTGAAACGAACGTGGTATATTAAGTTCCATGCAACAATTGTAATAAAAGTTACATAGGAGAAACAAGTAGACCTCTTGGCACTCGCATCAAGGAATACAAAACAGAAGCAGATAAGAAAAAGAGTCACTACAATAGACGCAATAAAAAAGATTCTTTTAACAGCTTTAATAAATCAGCGATTATAGATCACATTCTCCAAGAAAACCACGAAATTGATTGGAACAATTATAAAATAGTTAGCACAGAAAGAAACATAAACAATAGGTTGATAAGAGAAGCCATTCACATTAGAAAACAAAAAACTTCAATAGATACTATAAGTTATTCAATGATTCGAGTGAAATACAGAAAATATTCTTCCTGAGAAGTTCGTATTTCACGATGCGCTAGCAGAGTGAAATACAGACGTTCAAGGGAAGAATATTTTCTGTATTTCACGAGAAATCATTGAATAACGTTTTTATTCCATGATTACTCAGATAAAACTCCCCTAAATCAAGTCCATTTCCTTGTCTTGGCCCGGAGAAACAGATCAACCTTCTCACCTCAAAAATATTTTACATCGATATTCCTTCAAAATCTTTTCGGCCTTGTTGTTTTGCTTTTATTGTATTATACGATACGTTTGATTTTCTTCAACATTTTTCTTCAATTTCATCAGCTGGAACAGTGCAACGAAACGTTTTTTCGACCTTTTTTCGACTTTCGTCTGCCATATTGGATTTTTACTAGTTCATGAAAACAATGTGCATGCTTCATACTGATTTTTTATAATTACAGATGAGTGTTTTTTATCCTAAAATAATAAATTGTGGTGATCACCGTATCATTTCCTGATATTCAAATCAGATATTTCTAGCAAAATGCAAATATTAGCATGCGTTGGTGTAAACAGATCGCCATTGATTTTTTCAGTAATAGTCATATCCTGGATGGAAATCTGGGGCGTTGGGATACTGGACCGTATCCCAACGCTGACGTCATTTTCACTCTGTATTCAATGCTAAGTGGAAAGTGCGTATAAATACAGGATATATTTAAGTCACATGGACCAATCAGATTGCAGGGAATTTCACCATCATGGAATAAAAGGGCAACTTCAATTTAGATCGCTTGTGGGATGAAGATATATTGCCATGACAATTAAATATTTTTTGACCTTGTTAAGGTTTAATGACGTAATAGTAGATTTACCTGTATTCATTGCAACTGTTTTCAATTTAAATTTAGTAATCATTGATGCAGTTTTCATTCGAAACGTCTAAAACAAAAAAATTGTCATAAAGTCTGTGACAATTAACGCTTATAAATGGATTTAATATTACCAGACTATGAACTTATTTAATGTAACCATTTAAGATTGTTTTGAATACAGACTCATTACCTATCTAGCAGTATCTATAAATTCTGTTTCAATGAAAATGTTCCAACTAAGGCTATTTCTGCAAAATACCTTCAAAGTTCAATCCGAAGCTTGTACACTACAATGTTAATTTAATGACTGTAACTACACTGTATACGTTGACTTTCGATATTATTGCAGCCAATTATACATCCATATTTTTATCCGAACACATTCAAAGTATTCGCTTTTATATGTGATGTTTTATTTTAGAGTGAGGGCTTCAAAATACCTTACTTCGGTATTAATCGAGGTTGACATTTTGATGAATATGTAAGCATTTATACATATTTCATATTTCACGTGTTTCATTTTTATCTTTATTGAGCAAACATCATTTATACATGTATCATCAGATATATTTGGTGAAATGTTAAAATCGCCATTTTGCATATTTTTCATTCACCAGGTCACATCGTAATGCATCTTTGCAGAAACCTAATTTTCTTGACAGTTCAAATATTACTAAGAACATCTTTGCAGAAACCCGTACAGTCCAAATGTTATCAAGAACATCTTTGCAGAAACCTATTTTTCCTTACAGTTCAAATATTACCAAGATCATCCTTGCAAAAACATGTTTTTCTTTACAGTTCAAATGTCACAAAGAACGCCTTTGCAGAAACCTATTTTTCCTTACAGTTCAAATATTACCAAGATCATCCTTGCAAAAACATGTTTTTCTTTACAGTTCAAATGTTACAAAGAACGCCTTTGCAGAAACCTATTTTTCCTTACAGTTCAAATATTACCAAGATCATCCTTGCAAAAACATGTTTTTCTTTACAGTCCAAATGTTACAAAGAACGCCTTTGCAGAAACCTATTTTTCCTTACAGTTCAAATATTACCAAGATCATCCTTGCAAAAACATGTTTTTCTTTACAGTCCAAATGTCACAAAGAACGCCTTTGCAGAAACCTATTTTTCCTTACAGTTCAAATATTACCAAGATCATCCTTGCAAAAACATGTTTTTCTTTACAGTTCAAATGTTACAAAGAACGCCTTTGCAGAAACCTATTTTTCCTTACAGTTCAAATATTACCAAGATCATCCTTGCAAAAACATGTTTTTCTTTACAGTTCAAATGTTACAAAGAACGCCTTTGCAGAAACCTATTTTTCCTTACAGTTCAAATATTACCAAGATCATCCTTGCAAAAACATGTTTTTCTTTACAGTCCAAATGTTACAAAGAACGCCTTTGCAGAAACCTATTTTTCCTTACAGTTCAAATATTACCAAGATCATCCTTGCAAAAACATGTTTTTCTTTACAGTTCAAATGTTACAAAGAACGCCTTTGCAGAAACCTATTTTTCCTTACAGTTCAAATATTACCAAGATCATCCTTGCAAAAACATGTTTTTCTTTACAGTTCAAATGTTACAAAGAACGCCTTTGCAGAAACCTATTTTTCCTTACAGTTCAAATATTACCAAGATCATCCTTGCAAAAACATGTTTTTCTTTACAGTTCAAATGTTACAAAGAACGCCTTTGCAGAAACCTATTTTTCCTTACAGTTCAAATATTACCAAGACCATCCTTGCAAAAACATGTTTTTCTTTACAGTTCAAATATTACCCAGACCATCCTTGCAGAAACCTGTTTTTCTTTACAGTCCAAATGTTACGAAAAACAGAGAAACTCCCGCGGTAGGTCAAGTAGATTAAGTTAAAATATTTTGAGGCAGATCGAGGCTTCTGATTTGTCAACCGCGTTCGTATTTTGTGATTATAAACTAGTACCACGGGAGTTCACTGGAGAGACACTGGTCTGCTGTTTTTATGAAATTGTACATTTGTGGCATTCGAAACACTAGCGAACATTTTTAATCTGAAGTTTTCCCCAAACTTTTGTATTCCCACACAATATATGAACTCGAATGGGAACACTTAAGAAATTGCAGATCGCAACTCAGCTTTTAGATGTTTTTTTGTCCTGCTTGTATCAGGAATACAGTTTTTGACCTTTTTAGTTTGTTTGAGATATATAGATGACGCATGATGCCTCAGCCAAAAGAAATAGTGAGCAATTCACGTGTATTATCCAGTTTGTTTTTCGAGTGGAATGTGCCCAGCGTCACCTATTGGTCCAACGCTGACCCTACTGTCCGGGTTGATAACAACTTGGGTAATACTAGCATGGGGTAAATATAAGTTGAACCAAGCATTTGTCCTGAGTTGTAATGACCTGCAAGAAGAAAGAGGCATTTACTTTTTTGCTAAGTGTAGCCAGGGGTGTAGGCAAAATCAAAAATAAGATGAGGCAAAAAATCAATAGGCGAGGCAAATTTTAGACTAAAAAATATATATTTTTGCAGTGTATAGCCTTGCCTGCATCATGCCTGGCTTACCCCGCGGGTATCATTCACTGCCCCTTCGTCGATTCAAATGTAAAAGAAACTCGTGTCTTATTGAAGTAGGTGGCTTCGAAAAAACTGTTCCAATCTAATTTTCTCTCATTCCACGAGATGTCTATTTTCATAAAAATGCAACACATGTACTTCGATTTATTAGGCTATCTGACATAAAGGATGTGTCTGGGTATATGCCCTTTTGGTCCCTCAGTCAAATGTATGTTAAATATGTTTTTTATTACTGTCCTAGTTATATTTGATAAGTATATTTACTTTTTCACAAGTTTTGATGCAAAATTAACCCCCTGCTGAGAGTCGGAATAAGTATCTTAACAAAAAAAAATAGTCATTATCATAGAATAAAAACCTCAATGGCAACATGTATGACTTGCAAAGAAGAAATAACTTAAGACCCATGAAGAATTTAAAAGAAAATCATATTTTTGAAATATATTTAAGGATTAAAATTTTTTTCAAATTTTTGAATTTCCCGCCAGTTTAATTTGAAGGGGGAAAAACAAGATGGCTGCCATTTGATGTAAGAAATATCAGAAAAAAAGTTGCTTCACTTTTAGTTTTCACAATGAGCACAGTTTTCCGGTTTAGGTTTTTTGACTGATTCTGACTCTTCATCACCAGGGTCATGTATAGAGATTATAAAATTGAAACCGGAATGTTGTGCTCAGCATGAATTTGACTGAAATATGTGTAACTTCACCAACACAATTGAAGTCTCAAAACTGGATGCTCAGTAACTTTGAGTGACTATAATCCCTTGATTACCCAGATAAACACCAATTCACTTATCCAGAAATGCCATTCAATGTCTATACAAAGAAAGTAAGCAATGTTTTGGAGGATATGTTTCAAACCTTTTGTATAAATAATTAATTTAATATTTGCCATTGATTTTTTTTCAATTCTGACAAAGTGCTATGCTCTGTCTTTGATGCCAATATACTTCATTAATTGTGATACAAATTGATATTTTTGTACTCTCAGAAGAAGGATAAGATATTGAAGTTTAATAATATGTGTGATTGAGTTGGTTTTTCAGACATTACAATTTTCAATATTTTCTAAGTCGATACCCAGACTCATTCCCAGACTCATCCTTTGAACGTGAACGCCACCTTTTCAATTCTAGTGAACTTAGTTTTTTTTCATCTCAAATCTTCAGTGACGGATCAGATTATCATTTATTTTTCAAAAAAAATTAGGATAAAAAAGCATTGGATAATGATGATTTATCAGAACGGGAGAAACGTAGATGGCCGAGCGATATTCCGATTGCTCATCCGGGTTAGGGTCTAGGGTTAAAGGTCAGGGTAAGGATAAGGGGTTATGGTTTAGGGTAAGGGTTCGAATTAGGGTTGAAGTATCTTGGGACATCTCCGGTGTGTTCCAAAAATCGTTATCCTTATGAGAATATTTCTTACCTTAAAATGCAATATCTGTTCATATTACCATGGGCAACAATAATTTCCGCTGTGTTATTCATCCCTGGGTCTGACCTGTGAAAATACCTTCTGTAGGCCGCTTCCATCCTTGGTCCATCCTCCCAAAATTGCTGAAATTAGCATTTTTCTTGTCATGGAAGCATTATTGAAAATCTTGACATGCGCAATGGCATTTCCGTGATATCATTTCTCAAAACATTATTTGGCATGGATCTGGCAAATAAGTGACATCTATTCTAACTGAATAAAAAGTTAAAAAAATTAAATAGATATTAACGCCACTGGCGTTAACTGAGCTAGCCTCATAGGCTCATACCCTTAGCCATTTCAGATCGTAATTTATTGCGTGAGATTTTAGATTTTATCTTTAAACATTCCGTTACAAGTACGAGTTTGATTACAAAACACATTGCCATATTCAATCTCCACCAGACCACTTACAAAGTAGGATAGGATAGGGCTTCTGATGACATTATCATCTTATATAGTTATCAACTAATATACAAAGAGGACTTTCAAATATTAGCCGAACATGTCCGAACATGCTCTAAGGAATTTGATTGGTTCATTGGTGCATCTTCGGGTATCTTCGTTATAGATACATTTTCCTTTGTGGCGCCCTATCAATATAACTCACCCTATCCGGTAAAGACCAGAAAGAAACTGTTGGGTCGGGTTTAACAGGGCCCCCTTCTTTCAAGATATCATCCATATAGACAGGCACGTTTGGAAGACTGGCCGATATTATACGCGCTGTCTCCTCTGCTCGTATCATACTACTGTGTGTAATTGACCGGAATCCAGCACCATCAATGCCCATTCGACCAAGGTATTGTGCCAGCCGTTTGCCAGTGTATTCTGCTTGCTCGCGCCCTAAAAAGGAAAATACAAGAAATGTCTAATGTTAAAGGGGCAACAAGGACTGTACAGAGAAAATTCGATTTTTTCTGAGCTATCAGGTCAATATTTGGCTTAACATCTTCTTTGACATACCTATTTTCTTAAAATGTATGGATAAACGTCAATTTCAGCATTAAGAAGTGTAAATTCAGTTCAAAGCTTCTATAAAGGGAGTCCCACTTATACATTTTCAAGATTCACCACGTTTGAAGAGGAATATCAGCTGAAATATTAATAATGTTCATCCAGGGGGTTTCTTTGTAGATAATAAAAATATGTGTTAGTCTTGATGAAATATCCAAACTATATTTTGACACTGGTCGATGATCGTTCAATGGCCCCCTGCACTAAAGTGACCGAGGCTTTAGATATGCTATAAGACATACTGATGCAATAGTGATGCAATAGTGATGAAACCATACCTGATGTGCCATGTTGAATGCTCATTGGAATTTTGTTTTCTAGCTTTAAAAATTAAATTAACTGACGAAAAAAATATTGAATCACAAATTCATTTGGGACAGAGGCGTTTCGTTTGCAACATTTAGCTGTTTTGTGGATAACATTTTTTATTGCAAATTATAACAAAAATGCTCATTTCTAATACATTCACATAGACTTTACTTTTAAGAATATACACTTGACAATTACGCTCAAAACAGTGTGGCACAAAAGATAATAAACTGTCACATGCAGTGCACTAAGGCTCAACTAGTTATAACCTATTCACTGATTCAATAGTTGAATAGTAAACACATAAGGAATCAAATTTTAAACTGTACATACCATTTTACATGCAGTGCACTGAAGCTGAACTAATTACACGCAATTATATCTCAATACACTTACCTCATAGTCAATTCAAAGGAAATCCGTTCTCCTAGAATTGGATCATGGACCATTTACCTTTCACAAGAGTCCGTGACCTGTGTGTGGTTTAAACTAGATAACCCATTCGTATTGGGCCTTAAATAGCCTCAGTATAGCCTCCTTGACAATTACCCAATACTCATAGTTTATTCCTAAACTTAAACTTATTTGAATGGAATAGCGACTGCAAATGACGTAATTCGGTCAAGGGTAGGACTGTCTGCTAACTGAACAAACAAGATACGACAGTATGTTCCTCGGAACAATTCTTTAAAAGAACGCATCAAATTTCTGAGGCACCAGTCCGAACACGTAGAACATCTTTTTTCGTTAACTTTCAGAAACAGTATTTCCCCACACGTCGACAAAATTACTCGTTCATAACTAGTTAGTAGCCCTATTGACACTCCACGCAACATTTCAAGACGTCTTAGCGAAAACGTTTTAGAAAATTTATGTTGTGTTAACAAGACGTCTAACGAAATATGATTGAGTTTACAACTGTTTTTCTAAAACGTCTTAGAGATATGTAGGCATACATGTTAAATGAAAAAACATTTCAGCACTGGTTGAAGGACGGTTCATTCAACAGAGCTATTCCTTTCTCGCTTCTATGCTTTGTGCTAAAGAATGCATCGGTGTCATCAATTTTTCGTTCAGCGCAACGCATAAAACCGGGCTAAGAGCTCTTAGCTAAAACCGATGAATTTACACTCGCTTGTAAAACGTTTTAACGCTGAGACGTCTTGGCTATGACTATGACTAGGGTCCTAAAACGTTAGCTAAGCGCTCTTAGCCGAGAGCTCTTGAGAAAATCTGGATTTACATTACATTTGTAAAACGTTTTAACGCTAAAACGTTTTGGCCAAGACGTCTTATATGCATTCGTTTCTATGACAATTTAGGCGTTATCTACTGAGCACCAAAGTATACGTATACGTGTACAATGAAATGGCTGTAAATAACTATACGTTCGTTTTGGATATCATTGCAACCATTTACACACTGTGTTACACATCCGTATTTCTATACATGACTTCTGATTCAATTGCTGGAATTAAACCATGCGTTTTAGAAAGGCGCCAAGGTTTTAATCGGTTTGAAAATAGGTGTAATCACGATTGCAGTTTTACAAAAGCGCTTTCCAAAACTCCTAGGACCCTAGTCACTGGAAAACGCCTTAAATCGTTAGGCACTTTAAGAGTGTAGTGTAATGCCGAGTTTTTAAAATTGAAAGTAAGTTCACATCACTGGCAATCAGGTTTCTCTTAGACGCTAAAAGAATGCATTTATTGTAGACGTACACATCTGCTGGATATTCTCCATATCTACATAGTTAAAAGTGCACGAAAGGCGTTTAAGAAATGACAGGTGCAATTCCAAAATAGAATTCCTAAGGCGCTTTAGAAATGTTGGTGTAATCAGGATGGCGATTTTGTAAAGCGTTTTATACTAAAGCGCCTTTAGCTATAATATCTGAACATGAGAGTTTCAAAACACCTTTGGTTTCAATCATTACATTCAAATTCGATGTATGTCATTCATATCTTTATTGAGCAAACATCATTTACAAACATTTTCGGAGAAACGTTTCATTTCGCCAACATGCATAAATATAATCATCACTCACCATTTCGCATCGTAATGCATTTTTGCAGAAACCTATTTTTCTTTACAGTTCAAATGTTACCAAGAGCATCTTTTCAGAAACATGTCTTTCTTTACAGTTCAAATCCTTGCACAAACATATTTTTATCCCATCGAACAAAGTTCGGAGGAATATAGGGAACGCCTCCGTCCGTCCGTCCGTCCGGGCAATAACTCAAATACCATTGGCCCAATTTTGTTCATATTTTGTTCATATTTTGTACACATATACCCTACTATGGGGGTAGAATTTCTGCTCGAAAACCGATTTTCAAAATGGCCGCTCATTTAAAAAAGTTAATTTTGGTGCAATATGTAAAACTGTAATAGCAATATGTTTTAAATGTAAAAAAATTATAAAGGACATTAATAAAGCTAGAAATGTAGATATTAAAGAAGCATATTAATACTTGTTCATATTTGGTATGTGAATACTAAGCATGGCACACTGTCTAATGACACTTTTGGTAGAAGGCGGCCATTTTTTAAAATGGCAACCATTTTAACGTATTTTCTATAACTCGAAAAGTAGTGGAGCGATATTGTTCATATTAGGTATGTGAATAGTATAAGCATGGCACACTGTCTAATGACACTTTTGGTAGAAGGTGGCTATTTTGAAAATAGCCGCCATTTTTTGCTATATACTTTGTTTGTTAATATGCCAGCCATGGCTGTTCGATGGGATTTGCAATGCATTGGCGTTGCTGTTGTCTAGTCATTACAGTTTGAATGTTACGAAGAACAGAGAAACTCCCGTTGTAGGGGTAGTAGATAAAGTAAAAACATTTTGAGGAAGATGTGAGGCTTCTGATTTGTCAACCGCAGTCGTATTTTGTGATTGCAAACTACTAATACCACGGGAGTTCACGGTGGAGACACTGATCAGCTGTTTTTATGTAATTGCACATTTCGTTACAAAGAATCCTCGATTCACTAGCGAATATTTTCAATATGAAGTTTTCCCCAACTTCTGCATTCCCACAAAATATATGACCTCGAATGGGAACATTTATAAATTTCAGATCGTAACTGAGCTTTGAGATGCACTTTTTTGTCCTGCCCGTATCAGAAATACAGTGTTTGACCTTTTAGTTTGTTTGAGATATAGATGACGCATGATGCCTCAGCCAAAATAAGTATTGGGCAATTCACGTGTATTATCCAGTTTGTTTTTCGAGTGGAATGTGTCCAGCGTCACCTATTGGTCCAACGCTGACCCTACTGTCCGGGTTGATAACAACTTGGGTAATACTAGCATGGGGTAAATATAAGTTGAACCAAGCATTTGTCCTGAGTTGTAATGACCTGCAAGAAGAAAGAGGCATTTACTTTTTTGCTAAGTGTAGCCAGGGGTGTAGCCAAAATCAAAAATAAGATGAGGCAAAAAATCAATAGGCGAGGCAAATTTTAGACTAAAAAATATATATTTTTGCAGTGTATAGCCTAGCCTTGCCTGCATCATGCCTGGCTTACCCCGCGGGTATCATTCACTGCCCCTTCGTCGATTCAAATGTAAAAGAAACTCGTGTCTTATTGAAGTAGGTGGCTTCGAAAAAACTGTTCCATTCTAATTTTCTCTCATTCCACGTGATGTCTATTTTCATGGAAATACATCACAATACTTCGATTTATTAGGCTATCTGACATAAATTTGAACGTGAACGCCACCTTTTCAATTCTAGTGAACTTAGTTTTTCTGCATCTCAAATCTTCAGTGACGGATCAGATTATCATTTATTTTTCCAAAAAAAATTAGGATAAAAAAGCATTGGATAATGATGATTTATCAGAACGGGAGAACCGTAGATGGCCGAGCGATATTCCGATTGCTCATCCGGGTTAGGGTCTAGGGTTAAAGGTCAGGGTAAGGATAAGGGGTTTTGGTTTAGGGTAAGGGTTCGAATTAGGGTTGAAGTATCTTGGGACATCTCCGGTGTGTCCCAAAAATCGTTATCCTTATGAGAATACTTCTTACCTTAAAATGCAATATCTGTTCATGTTACCATGGGCAACAATAATTTCCGCTGTGTTATTTATCCCTGGGTCTTGCCTGTGAAAATACCTTCTGTAGGCCGCTTCCATCCTTGGTCCATCCTCCCAAAATTGCTGAAATTAGCATTTTTCTTGTCATGGAAGCATTATTGAAAATCTTGACATGCGCAATGGCATTTCCGTGATATCATTTCTCAAAACATTATTTGGCATGGATCTGGCAAATAAGTGACATCTATTCTAACTGAATAAAAAGTTGAAAAAATTAAATAGATATTAACGCCCCTGGCGTTAACTGAGCTAGCCTCATAGGCTCATACCCTTAGCCATTTCAGATCGTAATTTATTGCGTGAGATTGATTACAAAACACATTGCCATACATAATTCAATATCCACCAAACCACATATGAAGTAGGATAGGATAGGGCATCTGATATCATTATCATCTTATATAGTTATCAACTAATATACAAAGAGGACTTTCAAATATTAGCCGAACATGTCCGAAGATGCTTTAAGGAAATTGATTGGTTCCTTGGTGCATCTTCGGGTATCTTCGTTATAGATACATTTTCCTTTGTGGCGCCCTATCAATATAACTCACCCTATCCGGTAAAGACCAGAAAGAAACTGTTGGGTCGGGTTTAACAGGGCCCCCTTCTTTCAAGATATCATCCATATAGACAGGCACGTTTGGAAGACTGGCCGATATTATACGCGCTGTTTCCTCTGCTCGTATCATACTACTGTGTGTAATTGACCGGAATCCAGCACCATCAACGCCCATTCGACCAAGGTATTGTGCCAACCGTTTTCCAGTGTATTCTGCTTGCTCGCGCCCTAAAAAGGAAAATACAACAAATGTCTAATGTTAAAGGGGCAACAAGGACTGTACAGAGAAAATTCGATTTTTTTGATTTTTTCTGAGCTATCAGGTCAATATTTGGCTTAACATCTTCTTTGACATACATTTTCTTAAAATGTATGAATAAACGTCAATTTCAGCATTAAGAAGTGTAAATTCAGTTCAAAGCTTCTATAAAGGGAGTCCCACTTATACATTTTCAAGATTCACCACGTTTGAAGAGGAATATCAGCTGAAATATTAATAATGTTCATCCAGGGGGTTTCTTTGTAGATAATAAAAATATGTGTTAGTCTTGATGAAATATCCAAACTATATTTTGACACTGGTCGATGATCGTTCAATGGCCCCCTGCACTAAAGTGACCGAGGCTTTAGATATGCTATAAGACATACTGATGCAATACAAATCAGATCCTTACAATAAATCATCTAGTAAGGTAAACTTTATACCGGTAAGTATATTCCCAAGCACTCCATATTGGAAATCCTACTCACCTAGTTCAGTGAGTTGACCATTGGGACCCTCGTACTGGCCATGTCTAACGAGATATAGCTTTCTTATGGCGGTAACTCTTTTTTCTGGGAAGTTCTTCCAATCTCTTTTGTCCCAGTTTGTGTCATACGGTTCAGGTGTATCTCGTGAACTCAATTGATCTATTAATGTTTTTATGGATTTAATAGATTCAGAATTGTCCAATGATCTTTTTGGTGTAAGGTCTTGTTGCACTGACGTCATCATATAGATACACGTTACTATGGTAACGATTGCTAGAGACGCTGAGGCAAATCTCATAATAGTTGGAACACTCCATCGTATATTTGATCCGAGTGTTGATTGCATCTTCCCGATAGTGTCTAATAAACAATCAGTGACTGTTTCCATATGTATGTCGCAGTTTAATTCACTGGCACATGCTGAATTGTTTAAAGGTATCAAAACAGCTCATCCCATTGTTTGCAAGTAATGTAGATTTTAGTTGGTACGTCTATACGTCCTCACATTTCGTTGTCAATGCGTATAGTTAGTGTCGATCAATAGATGTTGACTATAAACTGTATCAGATCTGGTCTTCTGGAAATAAATTTTCAAATGAAGCGTGAATCCATCCACAGACTTTAAATCTGAATGGCCAAAATATGCTGAAACCAATGGATAGCATGGGTTATCTCTATGGAGAATGCGTTTCTTTCTAAAATATCACCTTAAATAATTCAATTTCTAGAGAATACACGAATCACTTAAAGGGTGACGCATATCGTTTAGCAAATCGAACGCTCGTTTCTGGTGTTGCTCACCGTTTAGTATAAAAGGCTCGATCCCGGAATAATACTCAAGGGTTCACAGGTTCGAGGTCGTTGTGTCAACACCTCTAACTGTTATATAGCATAAGTATATTATAGATCGTCACACATTTATAAAAGGGTGATTTTTATTTTGACAAATCAATTCCACATTTATGGGTGAAGTTTCAGGATCTTCTATTTGTGTATAATAAGGAAAAATTGGCATCTAAATTTCCCCGTAACGTAATAGCACACAGCTTGGCATATGCAATATCCTACAAATGAGACAAAGCAAGACAAACCGGTTTCTAATACAAGAATTTATATTGGCTGTTGTACATGTATTATTTGAACGCAATCACTCTTTGGATAACGTTTTCAAAATCATTATAAACGGATTACATTATCTCAAAGACAATTTCAATAAACTGGATTTTACAGAACTCCCCTTATTTCTTAAAAATGGACTGATCCAGTTGATTCGCCTGGAGCCGCCATATTGTTTTTATACGGGATGCTAATCCAAGGAGGATTGGCTCCCAGGATCCACGGGTTGTATCCAAAGCCCCGTTATAATTGAGAGATCGCGAGCAAGTTCCCGCTGTAATCACGAGCAAAGTCCTTTTTATTTAATTCATCTGGAAATATGGACCAAAAAGGTAAGAATACGCATTACTGTTCTTTGATACTTTAGGTATACTTTCAGAACAGGTATATCTTCACAAACAATGGCATGAAAGATAACTATTTTTACTGGCATGGAAGAAACGGGCGTCAATATGCACGTTTGCATAATTTACTGTTAACATATTACTTTTATGGTTAAAATAGAGACAAGAACTACGATATACATACCTCATTATGAATATTGGACCAACATTGTATGTATTGATAAGTTAGTTTTCAAAAACATCCACTGTGGGGGGTGAAATACATCATTGAAGGTTTGCCAGTGGCCCCGCTGAAATTATGAGGAAGCCCCGCTGAAAACATGAGGAGGTCCCGCTGAAAACAGGAGCAGATATCACGAGTACCCGCTTCGATCAAGAGGAAAGCTCATTACTATTACATAAAATATTGATGTTCTTCAAATAAACGTACGCGAAAGACCAAGTTAAGTACTTCTAATAATTACTGTATATATACTGTTTCATTCTAGGGCCAGGTTTCTAATGTTTCCATTCCAACTTCAAGCCACCAGAGATTTCGTCAAACATTTTATAGAGTTGCATCCATATCAAAATGTATAGGAGGAAGGTGGATATCATTTCAAGAATGAAATTAATTGAAGCCTGAGGTTCAGGGTAATGAGTCTTGTATTAAACAAAGACACCCCAAGTTGCAAGAAGATGAAATTTAGAGAGAAAGGAGAACCACAGAGTCTCTATGATAATTCAGGTTCTACTTTTATAATTTAACAATAACATTCATATTTTTGTTTTTAAATATTTATTAAAATAATGATGATTTGTATTCCATACCTGATAATTTGCAGGGACATATCAACCGGGAATATATTCCATATCCGGGCAAATATTTTTCGTATGTCCCGCTAAAACGTGGATCCGGGACATATAAATCGTATGTCCTGCATAAGCCATTTTCCTGGACATATTGTTACGCGGTAAACACGATACAAATATATGTCATATTCCACAATGAATATGGCATATTCACTTGTGGAGTATGACAGATTCACCTGCGGTATATGGCATACTCACCTGCAGTGTAAGGCATATTCTGCAAGTGAGTATGACATATTCTGCGAGCATGGGGTATTTACTGAAATCAATGTATCACATATTCAATACGGAATATGCCATACTCACCTGCGGAATACGCCATATACCACAGCTGAATATGGCATATACACCTGTATCACAAATACCACGCAACCATGAATATATGCCATATTCCGCGTAACACATACGATGTTATGCGGAGTATGGCATACATTTATGGTTGCCTGGTATTTGTGATACGGGTATACAGTATATGCCATACTCACCTGCAGTTTATGGCATATTCCGCAGGTGAGTATGCGATATTCCGCCGTGAATATGCGATACATTGATTTCAGTGAATACCTGATAGTCACCTGCAGAATATGTCATACTCACTTGCCGAATATGTCATATACCGCAGGTGAAAATGACACAATGATTACCCGTTTGTTCAATCAATGCAATTGACAATTGCGAACTTCCGTATCGTGTTCTCATTGCTTAGTGGGTATGCAATATACTGCAGCTGAATCTGTCATACACCGCAAGTGAATATGCCATATTTATTGCAGAATATGACACATATTTGCATCATGTTTTCCGCGTAACACGTGCGTTTAACATAACCTACGATTAATTGTTAATGATGAAATTATTTGATTATTATTATTTCGGACTCATAATCGGATGATGTACTCCTTTGTTACTTACATCTAGCAGTTGATCCATAAATTGCCTTTTCAAACGTGTGCGCCATTGGTGCTGAATCCTCTAAGTAGTAATATACTGAACTACAGTATAATGTAACTTCAGTGAAATATATAGAGATTATCCTATATGAGGTTCAGGATATTGGGATTATCCCGAGGCTAATATAATATATTTGCCCGAGGGCCGCAGGTCCCGAGGGAAAATATATTATATTGGCCAAGGGATAATCCCAATATCCTGAACCGACTATAGGATAATATGTTTATCCCATACCAATATTGGTCATCTGGTTAACATTGTTCAATCGTGGAAATATTTTAGAATATTCATGTCAAGTTTTGTTTTCTTGGCCCGTGGGCGGATTTTCCTGTTCTCTCAAATATTCCCACATTTATTTTCCCAAATTTCTGATTGATTAAGTTGATGCTCCTTCTCTTTTTTAAACCATCAAACAGATCCCGATTGTCTGTGTTTTCTCCATTGTCGTTTACAGTCATTACGCGAACGTTACAAATTATGAACAAATATGCGAGTAGCGATTGTGACGTAGCGGGCAGATATACTATATCTGCCCGCTCGGAGCGGGACGTAAAGCTATATCTGCCCGCTGATGAAAATATAAGTTTTTACAAACCGGCTTTATGTACCTGTAACACGTCCAAGTATGGGATAAAAATATATATTGCATAGAACGAGTTATTTGAAACTTGTCAAAAGTCGTGGAATGGATTTAAATCTTCTCTTGGTAAATTTCTCGATGGAATCAGGTCGAAATACATTAAGTGAAATGGTTTTATTGGAATCATGCTCGTAGCCAGCTTTTGGTAAGGGGGGGGGGGGTTGCTCGAACCGATAATAACAATGACAATGATATATGATATATATGTGCTCTGTAGAGTATCAATAATTAATATATTTATGACGTTGGCTACAGTCGTGGCAGATTTGCAAAGTCAAATCGGTCTTCACTACACTTTAGAGAGCTACTTGCTCCTGATTTCAGCGGGACCTCCTCATGTTTTCAGCGGGGCCTCCTCATGTTTTCAGCGGGATCTTTAGTTTATTGCTCATTGTAGAAGCGGGGCCTCAAGGGATATGCTAAAATTGAAATATATAATTTTTTGTGAAACTTTAGGAAGTGAAACTCACAATTCCTTCATTTCATATTACTATGACCATTTCAACTGAAGGGCAATGACCTTCTTCAGCTATAAAATATAGAAATATATAGATAAAGATTCAAGATGATACATTCTCTCTCCAATTATCGAATAACAAAACTCAGAACATCAGCTCGTGATCCTTTTTTGCAGAAGTTGCTTTTTAGTATCAATACCATGTAATAATTGAGTAAAATTAAATGAAAACGCTTTTTACAACATACAATTTAAGTAAACAAAAGATAACCCTTCTTTTCTTTTAATTGCTCGCGATTTCAGCGGGTATTTGCTCGCGACTTCTAAATCATAGCGGGGCTTTAGATACTACCCGTGAGGATCAAAACTCGATATTTTCCAACGATGAAAACGTCGAAATGTCGTTATTTTCTGAAATTAAAACCGACTATAAATTCAAAATAAACAGTTCAAAAGATTCGAACCAATATCTCGATCGTTTCTTGTGAGTTTTGGAATTTTTCGTTTGGAAATAAGACCAAAATTCACGATTTAAATGTTGAAGTGAACAAAATGGCGGCTGTTTGAATTCGAATTTTGTATTACGACATACCCATATATGGGACTGAATATCGGTGGTGCACTCTGGGAGCCAATCCTCCTTGATGCTAATCGGAACCCTTTAAATCATTTTAAAGTGGCGGCCATTTTAAATATTTGCAACATATTTTACCAAAATGTGTACACATTATTATTACGAATCTATAGAATAAGATACATGTACCTGTATAATTTCAAGAAAATAAGTGGAATACGTTGATGAGTTATGACAACGAAAACCTGAAAAGCTGATTTGTCGGCAATAAAAATTGTCGCCATTTTGAAACGAGGCAAGCTTTTGAGACACCATTTACTGGAGAATTGAGAGATTTTTTCATACACATTTTTAAAGTGAAACCATTCCAATTATTTTGGAGGATTTTAAATGAACCATCAATGTGTTGACAGACAAGCAGACAGACGGACAAACTTGTGTCATTGCAATTAAATCTGTAGTGGTTCTGAACAAGCAGGGACCAGAAAATACGAGGCTCTTACACGTGTTTAATAATGTAGATCGTATTTGGTAAACCTACGGAAATGTCAGGATCGTTTATACAAATGTTATTGAAAATAAAAATACAATACAGAGTCATGTATGAATGTCGACCTTACATATGCTTTGAATGGACATTGATTGAATACATATATGATAAAACTAATGACAACACATCTCGTGGTATTCATTATCTGGGTCTAATATTTATTGCCTACTATTCTATTGAGTTAAATGCTATAACTGTGTGGGTGAGGTTAAACGGGAAAATTTATACGTTCTAGTGAAATATATATGTAGACCAATATATATGCTCAGATATATTCCATAGATGAGATTAACCTGCTGGGACATCATCCTCTATTCTGTATTCTGATTTTTACACCGAAATAACCATACATAGGAGTTGGACACATATGTTTAAAACAAAATGCAAAGGGGCGCATCAAATGTTGAAAGATGAGGAGCTTCGACATGAAACTCACAATATTGAAAGGGTTATTGGTACCACTGTTTGTGTTGACGAGTGCCAATGCACTGACCAAGGTACAGAGTGACTGTAACCAAGAATTGGTTGATGCATTAAACCAATTCGCCCTTGACTTACACAGAGATCTGAGTACGAAGAATGATGATGAAAACATTTTATTCAGCCCCTACAATGTTGCCTCCGCCTTTCTGATGGTGCTTCTAGGGTCTTCCGGTGAAACTTCCGATTCTATCGCGAACGTTTTCCACATCCCCTTGGCGACCAGAAACTGTGTCCAATCATATCGGAGATGCATTGACGATTCAATCAACGGACACGGGGCAGTTGTCCTAAACACAGTAAATCGTATCTTCCCAGCTATGACATTGAACATCCTTCCTAGATTCATAGCTGATGTTCAACGGTACTATGGGGCAAGTGCTTCCATCTATCCGCTCGATTTTAAGGATACTGAGCAATCTCGTCGAATAATTAACGAATGGATAGCTACTATTACCAACAACAAACTGAAGAATGTAATTCAGCCAGACAATATAGACACTACGACGATGATAATTCTAGTGAACGCAATTTATTTCAAAGGCGCGTGGAAGTACAAATTCCCCGAAGACAAGACACACAAAGCAAAGTTCTTTGCCAACAAAGATACCTCTACAGAAGTCGACATGATGGTAACAGAATCATATTTTCCTTACACCAACAGCCCGCCATCTATTCTCAATGCCCAGATCGTGGAGTTGCCGTATGTCGGTGACACCGTAAGCATGATCATTCTGCTTCCAAACACGCGATTCGGTCTGGCAGACCTTGACCATAAACTTACCCTGGCTACCCTAAAAAGCGAATTGGGATATTTGTATCATAATACAAATGTAACCGTGAGCATACCAAAATTCAACATAAACAAGAGGTACAAGTTGAACGATAATTTGAAAAGACTTGGCATGGATCACGTATTTACTGATGCGGATTTTACTAAGATGACTGATTATGATAGGCTGACAATCAACGAGGTCATACATGAAGCACTTATAGAAGTAAACGAAGAAGGTAAGCAACTCTCTTTAGTAGCCCGGACAGCCACTTTAGGTTGAAGATCTTTAGAAACGAAAGCCAGAGATACATGTACAACATGATTCTCAAGTAGTCGTTCGGGGTACTGTAAAATTTAATCATGATATTGCATCAGCTGTACTGCATTGTCACTGGTCAGTATCAAGCAAAGGTAACGGCCGTTACCTTTGCATCAAAGATGGCGGACGGGAAGTTCCGATTTCGATATTTTTAGTTTTCACCGAATTAAACTACTTTATAGTTGACGTAATGGTTTTTGATATTTGAACTAAATCCGATTTATATGACATGAAACTCTGGGGTATGATCATTTGTTCATATATCATGCGCTGGCGCCACTATTTAAAAACATCTAAACCGACACTTCCCATCCGCCATCTTTGATGCGAAGGTGACGGCCGTTACCTTCGCTTGACTAACCAGTGATTGTATTATTAATCATTTTTCACGGTAAAGTACAGCTATGTTACATTTTGTGAATGGTTGACTCAAAACCTATAAGCAAAAAAATCCATAAATAATCCATTTTTGCCTCCATCCAAATGTGCTCTACATGATGTCATGTTATATTTCATTTTAATTATAACTTTATCTATAATTGTAGGTACAGAGGCGAATGCAGCTACGGTGCTACGTGGCGCGAGATCTGGATATACACCGCCCGTGAAAGTAACATGTGATCATCCTTTCCTCTTCTTCATCCGGGACATACCAACTGGCGCCATTTTGTTTTGGGGTAGATATGCAAAGCCAGAATCAACTGAAGCGTCAGCAGCATCGTCTGCGAGGCAACACGCAAATTTTCCCAAACACCTAGCAACACATGAATCCAGACCTGATGAAAAAGTTACAGACGTTTCGACTAATACTAAAGAAAGAAGTAATGAAGAATGCAAAAAGAATATCAAGAAATGTATCAGTAAGATTATTGTTGATGGAGAAAATGTGGAGACGGCCACTAGGCAAGAGAGAAAGAAGACAGACACTTGTAAGTATCGACTGACTTCAATCGTTCGATCGAGAAATTAGGAATGGAGGTTAAACCTCATAAGGAAGATTTTTGAAAACCACATGTTTGAAACTCTATCTAACCATTTTATATTCTTACGTTTTTACGTGTTTATTTCCTTAGGTTTTCTCTAAAAAGCAAACCTAAATTGTCGTTTTAAGCAAATTGTTATGAATTGTAAACAATACGAATAAATGCCGTTGAAAGGCTTATGAAATAAGGTTTGGAAAGAGTAAAGGCAGTCATTTTGAATATTTTCTTTGGACTAGTTCCTGCAGGTGATATTAACTTCTGGCTCAAAAACTAATAGCAGACAATATAAGGATATTTTCCTGAAAAGATGGGTTATACCTCCGTGTCATCATACTTCATTTTGAACCTAAAATAGCATGGCAAGGTATAGCAAAATGTCAATTTGACATTTGCTTTAAACCACGGACCTGAAGAAATTTTCTTAAAGTCCGTGTTTAAACACACATTTATCTAATTCCACAATTCAACAACCTTTTGATCGTAAAGCTGGCTGTTCCAGCTTAATGGTTTAAATAGGTATATTCTGCGGAGAAGGACGCGACACGATATCGGGTTAATTCACACCTTCATACAACCTCCGAACACAGGGCTATAGAACTCTTTCCTCCCCCAAATCCCGTCCTAGATATTCTGATCTAGTAGCCCTGCGATGTTTGATACCCGGGAGAACATGAAAGTCCATGTACTGAACGAACGAAAGCGCTCATGTTGATTAGAGCCAACAAAAGTTTAAAAAATGCAAGTCCAATTTCCTGTCCATGTTAAGTCAATGGCATGGTGATGCAATTGACTTTATTCTGCATAAAGTCAATTGCATCCCCATGTTAAGTCAATGGCACCCTTGCTGAAATCCTAATTTTCTCAGAAGAACTCAAGTTGATCGAGTCTCAATAAGTAGATTTACGTGGGAGAGTATTGCTAGAATCCATTTTCATAGGGGTTCTTAAACAGGCTTAACTAAGGCCTTTTTGAAATTTTGGGTTTTTGGCTAAAACAGATACTACACTAAAGTGTCGTCGCTGTGAATTTGCTTTCTTAGTTTTAAGTAAGCCATTTATTATATCACTCAACGTTCTATTTTTCAGTTGAGAGATGCATTCGGAAATGTAAAGAAGAAAAGATGGATTTGAAATGCAGAAGATCATGTGCAAAACAAACCACAAAAGTAGACATAGAGACAGACCGTAACAAAAATTAGTTGGCATGAATTATAGACTCGATTACTTGATGCACTTGGTATTTAAATCTACAGTCCGAATCACTCTTTCACGTGAAATTATTATCAATGCTAGAACTCCCTAAATTACAAGAAGGGACCACATGTTTACTGTACACAAAACTAATATTGATATATACATATAAACGAGTTGTATCTAAAGTATGAATAAAATAGTCCATGTGCATATAATATATTGCACTGTGGTCATTTGACTGCTTATTTTTAGATTTGATTGACTCACAAAAGTGATATCGGACTGTATTGCGAGCTCCGACGTGATTACATCGTCAACCTCTTACAGCCACCATTACCTTATGTGCAGCATCTAGTTCACCTCAACCATCTTCCTAACGTTGATTCCTAATTCTTTTCCTGACACCATAGCTCCACACTCACCAATGGTAGCGCCGTGACAAACAACTCCAACTTTGTACAGTTCCGTTACTACTAGTATCAGAGCAATATTTAGGTGTACCTGTATAGCACCGAATACACGTTTTACGTGTCGAATAAATGGTGTACATAAATAAAGTGTACTCAACTGAATGTTTAAGCTCACGGGCTATTGAAAGTTTTGTACGGTAAATTGGATTTTCTGTTTGCTCGAGGTTTTAATGGTGATTAAGTCGGTGACTGCTGGCGACATCTTTCAGAACATAAAGTTTGTCTCGAGAAGTGTTGCTTCATAATTTTGGAATATTTTATGTGGCCTGTCTGCGTTAATACGCCTTTAATCGTAATTTTAACAAGGTTAAATGGATTATATCGTAGGAGAGCACAGGCAAGATCCCTAGACTTTCTTGGACATTGAGTTGTCCCCAGTTTCAATTCAGTGCTAACTTTGTGATTATACTGGCCGATCGACATACTTTTGCGGAAATTAGTTAAAGGATAGGTATCGATATGGCGAACTGAATTCAACAATGTTTTTCTCCTATATATTATAAACCAATCATTGAAAACATTTTGTAAAAAACATAGTCATTTATGTAATTTTGACTGATTGACAAAAAATTAATGCGAAAATTATATATATATATATATATGAGTTATTTTCAAAAGGTGGAGTGAAGTGTAGTACCTAGTTTGGTCAATAGAGGGAACTATTATCTGTCCCCGGGAAAGTTTCCCCGGGAATGTTACTCCAACTGAGTAATTCAGTCAGTAAATTGGCTTAAACTACTATACAATTTCAATCCCAGAACTTGTTGTATTATGCATGAGTTCTATGTGCAGGATTGGATAGCTTTTACCAACACGTGTCACTCGTCGGGCGAGGTGTACCGTGATGAGTTGCACATTCAATATCGCAATTATTTGGCCTTTTCGAATTAACAACTTAGACCACACTGGAGGATCCAGAAGAAAATTTAACCCCCATTCTTTGAAAATTTGGCCTAGGTTGTTAAATCATTCCCAAAAAGGCTCGGTTTTTATGAGGCCCTATGTAATTTTTTACCAAAACATTTTTTGGGCCCTATGATGTTTTTCTTGTCCCACAAGGTGGGTGGGGGGGGCAAGATGGATCTGGATCCGCCAGTGGACCATGTATGATTACAAAAATAGGCGTATAAACACGGTGAACAATCGTAGAACTACTGATATGCCCGTCATTCAATGATTTACGTGTACGCTATGAACAACTTCCATTGTGTGTTTCATTTGGACGCATCCCGTCCTATACGTATACTTGAAGTATTGCCGCCCTTAAACTTTATGAGAATGACGTATACCGTTTGCATAGCGTCCCGAAGGCGATGATAGAGAAGGCGTGGCTTTCCAAGGCAGGGAAGCACAATGTTACAAATGTAAATCCTTTACAAAGTTCAAAACACAGCGCGTATTTAATTAATTTCGCTATACATTTTCATTTAGTTAAAGTACTGAAAAACAGTTAAAAGATCAGCAAAACATGCAGAGAAAATACAAAGGAAATATTCATTTACACGGAGTTTCAATCTCCTTTATGGCATAGTTGAATGAAACATTTGGAAACTAAAAAACGAACTGTAACGTATAGAACGTTTAAAGGAAATGGCGAAATATTTTCCTCATACTAACAACATACAGTTTGGACGATATGAAATAGATAGCAACTTAACATAATTCGGCGCATCATTGAAAAACGTATACCGTCCTTCATAACAGATTTGAATCAGACTTTTGGGAAGTGATATGCATTTGACTGACATAATATATAGATAATATTACAGACGCTTTCATGATTTTAAATAGCTACACATACAGTAAACATTTGTTTAAAATAAGATTTAAGAAGAATGGATAAGCCTTCTAATGGTGTGCTGATAATATTGTCAACTATTTTAAAGAATAACAAAAACATCCACTAAATGTTGTCAATCTGCGAAAATATTGCTTAAAATTATTTTTGGTTCTGGTAAAATGGAGATAAAAGTATTTCTAATAAATAGCTTAATCTTTCAATCGCTCCCTGCTTTTGAAGAGTGCCCCGTTGCTTACGAATCCCTATGTTGGTGGGGAATGAATACAGAGTTGACATTTTTAAATTAATGCTTATATGGATGCTCTTAAACCTGCCAGTGACTGATAAATACAAATGGATGATGCTTTTTAGAATGACAGTTAATTTGACCGTATACGAATGACCCCTCCAATTGCACAAATGTGATGTATTGCTTTGAAATACGACCTTATTGCGCCCTTATTGAAAATGTTAAACTTATGGTTAACGGTAAACGCATCCCTGCTTGGGACGTTTGATCTGTAGTCGTGTGAAAGACCTTCAGGAGACAATTTTCAGAATAAGGTGCATGTTACATCCAGGCCTTTCTCATTTTCTAACTGTCCATAAAGGGGGAGGGGAATTAGCGCAACAGATTTTGGACAGTCATATGTTCAATTTTGGCCATTTTCTGAGGATTTAAACAATTGCATATGATAGGCCAATGCATTGCCTCCAGGAAAATCACTTCTAGAGATGATAAAATAATTTCGACTTTGAGACAGGTTAGATGCAAACAACCCACCCACATTTTTTCTGAAATGTTTTCCTAATTTTCGACCCCTTCCATCCCTGCTTTTTTAATTTTTCTTGCATCAATATGTTGCATTTTGACACATAGTTAACCACTTTAAAGGAATAAGTGATTCCATCAGGGGTTTTAAAGATACCCATTATGGGTGACCAAACTTAGCTGAAAGCAATGATTTTTCCTATGGGAAAATAACATGGGAAATATTGTTTTCCACTTTATCTAAAAGGAATCATTTATTCCTTTTAAGGGATTAACTGTGTGTCAAAACGCAACATATTGATGCAAGAAAAATTAAAAAAGCAAGGATGGAAGGAGTTGAAAATCAGGAAAACATTTCAGAAAAAACATGTGGGTGGGTTGTTTGCATCTACCCTGTCTCAAAGTCGAAATTATTTCATCGTCTCTAGAAGTGATTTTCCTGGAGGTGATGCATTCGCCTAACATACGCACCTTTTTAAATCCCCAGAAAATGCCCAAAATCAAACATATGACTGTCCAAAATCTGTTGCGCTAACTTCCCTCCTCCTTTAAAACACCAAACACATGGTGGATCTGAGCTGAAGAGTTTACAAAAAGGTTAAACAGCCGTAGTTTATATTTAATTATTGACGGGTCAATTCAATTTGATCTTTTGTAAGAAATGGAATAGGTGGAATTATAATCTACATTATTACCACCTTGCAGGGCCTGTTCTATGGGTTTTAGTACTAGTTGAGAAGGCATTTAAATTGCTATATTGACGTGAGCAATATTGTGTCGGGTGTTAATGACTTTAGTCGGGCAATAATGACATTATCCGCCCGGCTATGTTTCCCGGGAAAAGTGATATCGTTCAGTGCGTAAGATTTTCTATTTCAAATTTGCTATTTCAGCCCTGGGCATTAACGGTGGTAATAATAGTAATAACGTCATTTCTGCGGGCAAGATAGTGAAATATTGGACCTTGGGCCCTTGGTCCAATATTTCACTATATTGCCCTTTGAAATGACGTTATTGTACTAGTGTCATACATACATTATTTTACCACTTTTCTCAGCCGTCCCTTAATATGTCTCCTTCTTTTTTCAATATATTCCTTGTAAAAAGTATCTAATTCCAAAGGCAAGACGTCGTCTTTTGATTACTTTTACTGATTTTGACATTCAAAGTAAGGACACTGAAAAGCCAAGGTCCAAATCTAGGTCTTTACGGGGTTCTCTAAATTTAACGCGTGGGTTATGAAACAGGTGTACAATCTTTTCAGAAATCCTAATCTGAAATCAGAATTAAAATCTGAATTCCGTTTTAGATTCTATGGTGCTTTGCATTTCGAAAAACCAATATGATGATAACCAAATATTACTTTATGGGTTAAGTCAGTTACGTAATCAGCTACCTACTAACGTACTTACTCACCAATCGACTCAACTAAAAAACAATTATAATATGAATAATTAGTTACGTATGAAACAAATATTTGGTGAAAGTACACGCTTTATTTGATACATACTCTTTGGCATGGAGAGAAATAGCATATTTAGTGTACTATAGTAAGATCACTGCTACCCACCTAGTTACACAGACGTATCGTCAGTGTATCATGGCGGAACTACTTCCGGGACTAGGTTTCGGTAAGATTTTTTATTTCCCGATTTACACCTACTTATAAGTCACGTTGTGGATAATACTTTGGCTCGAAGTTAAGGAAGATAGTCTAGTTTGAGAATGTGTCGATGGTTTTAGGTTTTATATGTTAACGAAGACACAATTCACGTATTTAGTCCCTCGCTTTTGTTACACTGACGTACGACCAATATCAGTGTAATATTGGCAATATTAATGCCGATCGTCAGTGTAACAAAAGCGAGGGACTAAATATGTGAAATGCGTCTTCGTTAACATACCAAACCTACAATCATCGACATTCTCAAACTAGACTATCTCCCATAACTTCGAGCCAAATTATAATCCACATCGTGACTTATAAGTAGATGTAAATCGAGAAATAAAAATATCTTACCAAATTCAAATCCCGGTAGTAATTCAGCCATGATACACTGACGATACGTCTGTGTAACTAGGTGGGTAGCAGTGAAGATACTGGCAAACATTTTGCTTTGTCGCCTTGTATCAACTCACATTGTATTGTAGATTGCATTTTTTGCTTAGTACAAATTGATTTGTTTTCTCCTTGTTTTGCTTGTATTTCATACAATGTGTTAAAGTATGAGTTCATTTTATCTTTTCCATTTTGCCTCAACTTGTATCGCATTTATTTGTTTAAGTTCTTTTAATCTGGTGTAATGAATTACAATATTATGTTGTAATGTTTGCATTGTTTATTTTATCATTGCTTCATTTCGTGTAGTATTGTACATTTTGCAGTATATTAGTTCTATTGGGTTATCATTTG